AGCTAGCCTTTCCCTACGGGTTAAAAACGGGTTTTTAACTAGTTGGCTGTAATTTAAATGTTCACCTGTTTGTGACCTGTAAATAATGTTAATATACAGAGTTTATAGAATATTTGACCATCGTCACTTTGATGTAATTAAACTCTGAAACTTGCTATATAATCAACATAGAAGCCTAGCAGAAAATTAGTTTTCTTGATTCACTTACATTTTGCTGAAAAGCACTTTTGTCCAAATGTCCTATATATTGTAAGTACATTTGTGCTTCTCAAATTGATTTCAAACCTTTTATTGTTTTCCTCAATTTTTATCATATGAAGCAACTTCAAAATTGTGAAATTTGTAAAATTATTTTTAGAAGACTTTTCTTAGATATGTAATTTTGTTTGGTTGATGTATCCTTCTGAGAAAGTACTCAAATGCTTATTTTTGCAAGAAGTAGGTAAAAAGATAGTTAGATTAACTGATGCTTCATTTAATTTGGATTTTATATTGACATAAAATCATATAATTAATTTGCCATTTAAAAGTGCCCTACAGCTTCTGCAGTCATAGAATAATAATTTAGAAATGACTGTTTGGCTGTCTGTGACTTATCATAATTAACTGTCTTCTCAGCATAAAACATAAAAAGGAGCATGCTCAAATATTATTTTAATGTGTTGCATAATATTATCTCACCCAGAAATAGTAGGAAGAGTATCTCATATTTCATTGTGAGATAAGTTTTTCAGTCGATCTCTAGTTCAATTTCTTTTTAGGGAAATACTTTTCCTTAAATAAGTTCCTGTGTTTAGCTCAGCTCTTACAACTTAGTGCTGAAAATATGGAAAGTGTTCGTTTTAGGAATTTACTGGTGGATCTTAAATGTCATGATCCTATGTTGTTTTGTAACATCACTGAAGCTGAAAAAAAAAGCAGAGAAAGACCCAGCAATACAAAGCAATTTCTTGTTATCCAGTAAGGCGTATCTTCTCTGGATATCATTAAACTAGGAGAGAGTTTTGACTTTGCTATAATCCCACTGTTCCTTTTTAAAAGTAGTTTCCAAACGCCTCACATTTTTTCACTGAAGTATCGCCATAAGCTGACATGGTATCGTGCTCTTCTTTTATCTTCTGAAGCTTGAATTTTATGATTTAAAATGTACTTTAGTCACTTAAAGATGAGTGATATTTTATGCTATTTTCTATGGGAAAACAGCTTTGCAGGTATTATTTATTGGAATGTAGGAGAGTTCTTTTGAAATAATTTGAATGGTTACTGCAAAGGCAAAGTGTTATGTCCATTATTGGAAGAAAACTTTACGTGTACCTCCTGTGACTTAAATAAATCATTGACAACGTTTGTTGCCATGCGAATGTGACATTAAGATTTATACAGCATTCAACTTCAAGTAGCAATCCAGCAATGGTATAGACTAAAGATATTATTATATACTATGCTGAGAAAAGCACATCTGTAAAACTGTTGTGTCTTGGTGATTAGTGCTAGGATTTGAACTATCTTTAATTTCATTTGACTTGTTCATCTTCCTTAAGGATCTCCATAAAGATGCACTGAGTATTCTTTTCAGTCCTTAGTTAGGGTTTGCATCAGTGGTCGTAAACCTGCTTAACGGACAAAGACTCTTTTCCCTTTGAAGTCACTTCCCCAGCTTTTCAAAAGGTCTGCAAGCTGGTTCCCCTAAAACAATTTAGAAAAGTTTGAAGTGGTGCCCCTTAAACCAGCAACAAAATAAAATTTTCTCTTTGCATTATTGAAAACCATGACAATCTTCTGAAGCAATAACAGTTTAAAAGCTTTTAAAGAAATCTGTTCTGCTCTATGACCAGCTTTTAAGTTGACCCCATTATTTGGAAAATCAGAGGCTTGGAAACCCTTAAATACTTGACATTCTTATCAAAGGAGTCAGCCTGACTTTTCACAGGACTCCTCTTTTACAGTATTTATTCAAGTCCTAATTTTTTTTAGAGATACTATTCAGATTTCTTCTATTTCTTTTTTGCATTAAAGTGTTTTTTTAGAACAAATGTAAGTTAGTAAACAGTTGATATAATTTATGAAACACTGATCCTGCCACCTGGAGATTTATACTCTGTTTGCAGTAAAGTCCAAATTCTAAAAAGACTGCGAGCCTTACTTACGTAATTTTATTGTGGACTGTGATAAATAAATATGCTCAGTTTCTACTTAAGAATTTTATTTCCTACGTTTTCTGTATATAGTTACTGACAGCCTAACATAGGTAAAGCCTACAGTAATGCAGCTGCTGTTAGCAATAAGTTTACTATAAGGATTTTGTTTATCTGCACCTCCTAATAATTCATTCAGACATTGCTGCTCTTAAGTTCTTCTAACTCCCAACATCTTACATCCATTACCTCCACTACAATGTTGTACATTTAAAACTTGTCTGATTTCAAAAGTTTCATTAACATGTGTAGTATATAATTACACTAAGTCCTTGCTGATCTATGCAAGTACGTGTTAAATGCAATTTCTGAAAGCAAAATAAAGCAATAAAATGAGAATTCTAGAATTTTGCTAACGTAGGCAGCTCATTAAAAAAAAAAAAAAACTAACGAGCTTTAAATGCACAAAGCTGCCTCCTCTTTTATGGCTCGGGGACAACAGGGAGAAAAAACTGGTCAACAGAATAAATTTTTTACCGGATTGCCTGGCCAGCAGGAGCAGGGAGGTAATCGTTCCCCTGTACTTGGCACTGGTGAGGCAGCACCTCGAGTGCTGTGTGCAGTTTTGGGCCCCTCACTACAAGAAAGACATTGAGGTTCTGGAGAGGGTACAGAGAAGGGCAACGAAGGTGGTTGAGGGGTCTGGAGAACAGGTCTTATGAGGAGCAGCTGAGGAACTGGGGTTGTTTAGTCTGGAGAAGAGGAGGCTGAGGGGAGACCTTATCACTCTCTACAACTACTGAAAGGAGGTTGTAGTGAGGTGGGGGTTGGTCTCTTCTCCTAAGTAACAAGCGACAGGGAGGAAATGGCCTCCAGTTGCGCCAGGGGAGGTTTAGATTGGACATTAGGAAAAATTTTTTTGTTAAAAGAGTGGTCAAACACTGGCACAGCCTGCCCAGGGAAGTGGTGGAGTCACCATCCATGGTGGTGTTGAAAAAATGTGTTGATGTGGCACTTTGGGACATGTTTTTAGTGGGCATGGTTGTGTTGGGTTGATGGTTGGACTTGGTGATCTTACAGGTCTTTTCCAACCTAATGATTCTATGGATAAGATGACAGTTATGGTTGGTGTTACATTTTCCTCCAAAACTGCAAATTTGTGGCTTGTCTACACAATGTTCATTTATGAGTCTTCTGAGGTGCCTGTGCCATGTTTAGGTGAGGAAGGTTCAATAGAGCAAACTTGCTCTAAAAGGTCTGTGAGCGTGTGTAGGATCAGCCACCTGAGAGGTACTTAGAGGTCATTAAGTCTACCCTTACGCTTCTAATTTGTTCGGAGTTTTTCCTTTGCTTCTGAACTGTCTGCCATACTTCCTGGGTTTGAGTGTGTTTTGCCAAACATTATATGAAACAAAAGCAATAGCTTTTAATGATTATTTATTAAGAGATTAGGAACAAGTCAGCAAATTGCTCCAAAGCATTTTCGGATTTGAAATACTGATAACATAGATGTGTGTGTGTATATGCACACATATGTATTTAGTGTATATATATATATATCCGAGAAGAAACATATTTATTTACTTTTCAAGATTTTGTATTGTGGATATAAATTATAGATTATAACAGTAACTGCAGGATAAATCAAATTTTGAAAGGTCAAAATCCTTGATTTGTTACTTAGTTTATGACCTTTTCTAAAAAGCCATGTGAATGTGGCAGCTACATGGACACTCTGGGAGGTGTTGCAAATGGTCTCAGTAAAAATGTGAAATATGAAGAGTAAGCTAAACTTTTATTTATGCAAGCCCAGATCTCCACTTGTTTTCCAGAGAAGTCTCTCACGGTGCTCTTACAGGGTCTGAGCAGCTACCTGTTCTAATATAGTTCCATAATTTCTAATAAGACCCAGTACCAGTATTGCTAGTACTTTTAAGGCTCCACATGGACGCACTAATGATGCTGGCCTTATCTTTTGAAAAGTTACAACCCCAAATGTAATTTGAATGATGCTGCCTTAGTAACCAATGGAGTCATTTGGCCCTGCTGTTACTCTGTCTCTTTACAAAACCATCTCCTGTTTCTGAAGTTAAAAAAGTTTGACTTTACCACAGCTTTACTGCCTTGTTGGTATCTCACATATCATCATTTATTGTGAAGGAAATTATTCCCTTCTGCTTAAAACCTCGTCTAATCCTTTTTGAAACTACATGCTAACACTGCCCAAGATACATTCTTTAGAGTTTAAATGCTTTGTCAAATGCTATAAATGAGCTAATTATATGGTGATACAAAAATGTTATTATTTGATTTCCATGAAGTGCTAGCACTCTTGAAGAGGGTGGTACAGCGAATGACCTGTGAGTGAAGTTATAAAACTATTTAAAGGGCATTATAACATTTGCTTGGCCTTTCTGTGTCTTGACCTGGATAATGTTTTTTTTTTCCGTTAAATGCGCCAGTTGTACAATTTCTTTTTCTTTATGGTATCTATATATGTTTATTTACAAACATAATCTCAAAAAAATACAATTTTGTTTGTTCTTGTTGCAGGGAAATGTCTAATAGGAGCAGCAGTAATTAATGTTGGGTTTGGGTGTTTTGATTTTGCAAACTCATCTGAAAGTCATACTACTCACCTGAATTCTATATTAAATGTGCGTTAGTAAATGTGCAGGCTGAATTCCTATAATATACTGCTGCTGTACTATATGGATGCGAGTACAGAAAACCATATGCAAACAGAAGCATAGAAGTGATTTGTAAGGAACATGTAAGGAAACTGAAGACGCTTCAGTGATTGAAAGCAGTGATTTTAGAAATAGATTATAACCAAGGATTGCTTTTATTGTTTTTTCATTGAAGGTGATTTTGCAACTCCTCGAGCTATTTTGACAGGACATGACTATGAGATCACGTGTGCGACCATTTGTGCTGAACTTGGCCTGGTAATAAGTGGTTCAAAAGGTAAGGTAGCTGTTGTCATTTCTTTCTGTTTATGAAGCTATAATCCTAATTGAAAAACAAATACAGTTTCAGCTTTCAGAATTTATTAACTTTATGATGGTTTTATTTCTAACTTTTTTTTAGTTGCTATGGAATTTGAAACCTTGTTTTAAACACGTTAAAACTGAGGAATATTCAGACATTTAAAAGAAGAGGCAGCCGCATCAGTTTCCCTATTTTATCCTATGATTACTATTTCTTTTTGTTTGCTTATCCAGTGTGTAGTTGCATATAGCATGCGGTTGATAACAGGCCTTGACTGCCAGGGTGGTGAAGAATGTTTGGTATGGATAACTTCTCAAGAAGGGAAGCAAAAATTAGTTTCAGGAGAAAGAGAATGTGCTGTCTTGTTTGTTCGATGAAGGGTGTATATAAACTACCAACTAAAATACATAGCTTGTTCAGGTTCTTTGAGCTTAACTACAAAGCCTGTAATATGCCCCATTATGTGTTCTTAAAGACCTGCTTTTGGCAGGCGAATTATAAAGAATGATGGTGAATCCTTGAGTATTGTTTATCATTTTCCTGTTTGGTCATCCACAATTATTTTTAAACGGGAAATTTCTTAGAATTAGGATCTTTCTGCTTTAGTGTTTCCGAAGTACCTACCTTGAGACACTTTTTCAAAGTGGGATGTACTCACCACATGCACCTGTGTGCTTTTCTGATTTATGCATGTGAACACTTGTGGCTTACGTGCAAATCAACTGTTTGTCCAAATATATTAAGCAGCAAATACTTAGTGGATCATGTATGGGTTAAAATCTTCATACAAGAATATACACTTTTAGAGTACCTACATATGTAAATTTCATTACACTTACTTCAGTGTGCCTTCCTATTTTGAAAATCTCATTTTAGATTTCAGTACATTTATTTTTGTGCTCTCAAAATTAACTGCTATCAGTTTTAAAAGAAAATCCAAAAGAAAATCTGTTAGGTCTCTAACTAGTTTTGATAGGTGCTCTAAAATACCTTAATACAAAGCTTTTAAGTGATAAACTGTTCATTTCACTCTCTGGCACCCTTAAAGTCATAGGCTATCCTCATAAACATGGTAAAAATCATTATAATGTATTATAATAGTGATTACCTTAGTAGAAGTCATTACTTATTATTTGATATATGATGTCTTTAAATGAGCATATAAATCAATAACCAGAGATTTTATTCTGTCTCGTTAGAAGGACCATGTCTCATACATTCTATGAATGGAGATCTACTGAGGACATTAGAAGGTCCTGAAACATTAGAGGGTCCTGAAAACTGCCTGAGACCAAAACTTATTCAAGCTTCAAGAGAAGGCCACTGTGTCATATATTATGAAAACGGTCTTTTCTGTGTATTCAGTGTGAATGGGAGACTTCAAGCCACTATGGAAACAGACGACAAGATAAAGGTTAGTGTGCTCAAATGTGCGCTAAGGACTATCAGTTCCAGTGTCAGCAAGAGCTGTCAATGTTGGAGTTGTGTGGAGATTCTTTCTTTAGCCGGGCCATAGAAATATATGGTTCTAGAGCACAGTAGCAGCATTCTGAGAAAATATCAGTTAAGGCGACAGTGTACTCCTAATAGTACCGGGTTTAATTTTAAAATAACTCTGTTCATAAGGAATACCCTGTAGGCGTTTCCTTGAACTGAAGATTACAATTATTACTGATTGCTGACTAGGAGAAGCCGAGATACTTCTTTACTTTTTAGTCTGAAGGCAGGAGGTCATTGGACATGTTGTTTTGGATGTTGGCTTTCCCTTTTTTGGCATCACTGTCTACATTCCTTCATCTTAGCTTGAGTTAGCACGTGTTGTGCTGAGCTTCAGGAAGTTCATAGGCATATGTCTATATTTCAGCTCTTTAGCCCTTTGGCATTTGCTGACCAGGCAGCTAGATTCCACATCTTTAGCTGCGAGGGGCATGGAGCAAGTCCAAAACTATGCAGGAGGTATTTTAAGCTTATGGTTTTATGGAAATTATTTTATAGTGCAAAATGCAGGTCTTTTGGCAGTTCTTATGAAAAAGCATCTATGAAGCGGAGCAGAACCTGCCAGCTCTACTGTACTAAAGCAAAAATGTCAAAAGAATACTTTATTTGAATTAAAAATATTCACACTTTTTCCTTGAATGAGAAAAAAAGGGGAGGGGAGGGGGAAAAAATGACCAAGCATTATCAAATCTGCTAGAAAGTTACAGAATGCAGCAGAGACACGAAGCAAGGTCACATTGCTGGGTCAGCATTCAGGCTACCTGAATTAACTGACGTTATGGTCTCTATGCCAGTAGTTGTGATCTGAGAGGCAGAGAATCACAGAATGGTTGAGGTTGGAAAGGACCTCTGAAGATCATCTGGTCCAATCCCCATGCTTAAGCAGGGCCATCTAGAGCCAGTTGCCCAGGACCGTGTCCAAACAGCTTTTGAATATCTCCAAGGGTGGAGATTCTGCAGCCTCTCTGGGCAACTTTTGGCGCTGCTCAGTCATCCTCACAGTACAGGAGTGTTTCCTGTATGAAAGCTGTATAACTATTTAACATCAGCAAGAGGAGACTTTTGTTGTTGTAAGCATATAGCAGAACTAAACCTCCAAGATGACTTTCATAATCTGATGCAAGAGACCAGCAACTCAGCTGCTGGGATTTCTAGTGTTCTCTTGAGTTGGAAACTCTCAAAAGTTTTTCCTTTATTTGGATTAGTTGTTTCAGGAAGAAAATGCTTGGTCTCACATTCATTTTACAGAATTATTGAAATTATTTCAGATGTTGTGCAAAGTTGTGATCATTTTTAAGTTTGCACCTGTTCTTCTCTTGACTCTATTCATGTTAATTTTTAAGATGGAAGAATGTGTCAATATGTTTGAAACAATTTTGATCTCCCTTATTTTCATTTTATAACTTACATGGAACAGTGCATGTTCCATTACCACTGAAGTCCCCAGTGTAGTTCAGTGCGTTCGCCTTAAAACCTTCTAAAACTCTATTTGTACTCTATTCTGTTAATCCAGCATCCCTGTGTTTGCAAAATGTCAGATAGTTGGTGGTGGAATAAGCAGAAATGACTCTATGTGTAGGTCTGTCTTCCATAGTGAGAGTGCTGCCTGAAGGGGGGAGAGGGCGTTAGATCTTTGGATGCTACAGCATCCACAAGTGCAGATTTGAGGCTGGCGAAATGAAGTAGGATGTGTATATTTCTGTCCCAAGCCATTCTTCCAAATTAATGTAGATTCTTACTTCAATTTTTAATATTTCTTCAATTCTCTTAAATTGCACCTTTGGCTGTCCTTGTACAAATGCTTTTGAGATTTTCAACCTACCCTTCATCCCAGTTCTTTCCATAAAGCAAGTACATATCACAGTGTTTCCTCTTTTTACAACAATAACGTTGATAATCTGTCACTTTCAGTTGTGATTATGTTGTCAGCTAGGCCAGCAAATCTGTAAAATATCTGGAAATCCCTTGCCGGCTAAAACAATTTCTGTAGTGTTTCAGTCAGTACCCACAGCTTTAGGAATGTTGCCAGAGGCAATGGAAGTTCTGCTCTCTGTGGGCCAGAATTACGTATGTACAGGGGTTTGGGTTTTATTTTATTTTGTTTTGTTTACTTTCTCTCCCAGTGGTCCCAGTTGGGCTTTACACTTAAACAACCTACAGCGTTTTTCCCAGTGCTTCTGCACTATATCATGTTAGAAGGCAAGTGGCAACTGCATGATTAAAGTAGGGGCATTTAAAATGAAAAGTACCTACCCATGGGCTGTGCTGACAAATACTTTTCATTGGTTTTTGCTCGAGGAGGATAGGAGAGGGAAGGAAAAGGTCATAACTGTTGAATCTGTAATGTAAAATTCTAGTTTCTGTTTTCCTATTTCATTATGGACCAATATTTCAAAACGTTACTGAGAAAACTAGCAGCTTTCAGTGGTGATGTTTGGAACAACACTCTGATTTTCTTTCTTGTATTCTTTGCTAGAAAATGGCTAGAAAAATTTCAGATGCTCTGGGGAAATTCAAAGTCTAATCAATCCCTTCCACCTGTTTTTATTTTAAATACTGGTTTGCTCAGTGGAGCTTAGGCATATCGCAGTACATCTACCATGTAGTGTTTAGATATCTTAATGAATAACTTAACTCTAAATAGTCTGCTTGTTCTGAGAAGTGAAGTTATTTTACCCTAAACAAAGACTGTATGCTGTTTCACCCAGAGGAACCAATTTATTTTCCTTTCCTGAGTCTGTTTTGAAATGTGGAAGTGCCCACAAGACTCCTGCTGCTGTAAGCCAGGGCTGTCACAGTGTCAGCTCTGCTTTTTTACAAAGCACTGCCTTTCAAAAATCTGAGATGTTAAAAGGGATTTGTGCAAAGTTTTGAGACTTTCCAAGGAAATACAAGTCAGAAATGCAGCTTTTAGAACGTTGCTGAAATTGTGCGCTTTGGGGATTATTTGAGAGTTTGAAGCTCACGTTGTGAGAAAGATTAGTTGCAGAGTTGTTTCAGTTTCATACCTAGCAGAATCATAGATAAACTACACTGGGGAAAAGCAGAACAGTAAAATTGATTCATGTCATCTTCTATACCAGTTGGAGTACTTGGGAGTAGAAGCATCCTTTCATTTGTTAAATCTTGAAGGGCATGTCATGAAACTGAAATGTTGACAGGGTGACCTTTTTCTTCTATTCCTTCCTTCATTTTTATATATATATATATATATATAGGCAAGTGGCTGAGAAATTTATTAATAAACAATAAAAATAACTAAATCAACATCTTGTCTTCATGACAAGCCAAAGACTTAGTAAAATTGCATAGGTATTAGCAGGGTTCAAAGCCTATACTTTATTTAATCAAAAGATCACAAACCCCACTGCATTTTGCAGGTAGTGGAAGAGTTAAAGATTAATGGCTTTAATTTGCCTTTTAATATAGCATTTCTTCAGTAAAAGCCTCAAGTATAAAATTCAAGTGAACCGTGACCATAAGGTTAATGGATTTTCATCAGCTGAATTTTGTAAGTGTAGCAAATAATTATTTGTCACGGTCTTCATTGCAATTTGAAAATACCCTTAGGAGACTGCCATTGCTATAGAGAAGAAAACCACTCCATATTGATTTTTTGCTTCTAATGAATAATCTTTTTAATAATTGTGTGTGGTATGTTAGATCTCGTGAGCATCCACGCAGTGCATGCAAGTTCTAGATAATTTTCACAGTCTTATCTCAGTTGTTTTCCACCCCTTACTGAGTTACTGTACTCTTCTAAGAGGGTCTCTAAATGAGTTTTCCAGCTCCTTGGGGCTGTGCTTTGGGAGGTGCTTAGCATATTTTTGTAGGCTGGTAGAAACAATCACAGAAGCAATTTATGGTTGGAACATTCATTTTTTGGGGGAGAAGCTTCAGCTCAGAATACTGAACTCTAACCTTGGTTAGTATTCAATTTTCCATACTCAGGTATGGTTGGAAAAAACCCTCCACATATTCTGCTTTATTGGGTCTAAATTTACATGTATGTGTTATCATCTTAATTCAGAACACAGCTGGAATAGGAGTATCATCTATTTTTTTCAGTCTTACACTATTTTGTTTACAGTATATGTTTGTATTTTGATTACATTCATTTTAAAGTGAAGTAAAATTTTAGCAATATTTGATTCATTCTGGGAGCTGTTGCAGTAAACACTCAATTTATAATACAGAAACTATCTTAATGTGTTGCACATCATATAATTCTTAAAGGATATATTTGGCACACAGTAATAGAGTACAGCAGTACAAAACCCACAGATGTGCAATATGTCTGACTTCAGTTATTGCTGTTCACGAAGCAGTATCTCACAAACACTGTATATTTTGGTTTCTAGGCTTGTCAGCAGGCTGTATAAACATTTTAATATTGCACAAATGTAACATTTTTGTGCTTTAGTTTTTCTCATTTTTTGGTGGTACACGCACTATAAATTCTATATATTAAAAAACCAACTTCCTTTTCCTGAGGAATTTAAAATCAGAGTATGTTACAAGTTTTGCGTATTGAAAAACTGTAGAAGCAGAGATTGCAAGTGCAGAAATACTTGCAGACTTCAGCAGAGAGGTGTGTTTGCAAGATCCTGTCTTCAGTTCTTTCTACTGTTTTCTAAATTTAAATCTTTGAGATGGAATCTTGCTTGTAGACTATTATCTTGAGGCAATTTCCTTGCCTTCCAGTGACAATGTTTTAGTTAAAGTGAATAAATCTATTTGTGGAGCGTGTGTTTGGAATTTAAAAGCCATTGCTCTGAATATCCTCCATTCTTACATTGTTCTGTTGGAAAGTTTTTTGGCCCCCTGCCTTGGGTCAGGGAGCTGAGATTTATCATAAGTTAGGCCTGGTGTGAAGGGTGTGTAATTTGTTGGAAAGCCGCCCAAATTTAGCTGATTCACAAATCTCAGGTTAAATTCATTCGGTAGATAATTATTAGCATCTCCATTCTGTACTGAACATCTGTAGCCCAGGGATGCAGAGTTTTCCTCTGCAACCAATCACCCCCTACGGTGAGGTGCACAAAAATGCCATGGCAAGAAATGTGATGAGGTGATGCTAGACAAGGAAGGGGAAGGACTGATGGGGAAGCAGAGGAGAAAGAAGAGCAGAATCAAGGATAGAACCAAGGGCAGAATGAGAGATGTTTGCAAGACTGACAGGAATAGAGAAGTAGAGATGGGAACATAGAAACTTGTCAGAGACTGGGAGAAGATAAGAAGAGGCAGAAAGGAATGAAGCAAAACTAGGAATTGGAAATAGGAGCAATGGAGTGAAGGATTAGGTAGGATCAGGAGTTTAATACTAGATAATAGTGCTTCATAGTAGCAAAGTTCTTTATTTTCCTTTTGATAACAGTGAATCATTAGCAAACAACTAGCAAAGTTATTTCTCACGCTTCCATGTGCTCAAATGAAGAGGACGATAGGCTGCTGCTGTGCCGAGTATTGCGTACAAAGATAAAAGTAGAGAACAGGGGAGGGAAAAAACAGAAGTCAAGCTGGGGAGGAGAAGTCAGAAAGAGAACTGAGAAGAGGCATCTGGAAACAGGAGAGCATAGGAAAAGATTTGGTCTTACAGGAGTTAATAATAATGGTACAAACTGTAGTGTAAAGGGTCTTGATCTTTAGATCATCAGCTGGTAGCTCATGCTGATGTCATTCCACATGACAGAATTCATTCAGCTTTTTTGGTTTTTTTTTGGAAAGCCCTACAAACCCTTGTTTTCCCAGAGAGCTGGAGGATGAGGCTATAAAATCAGGGCCTGGTATCCTCTACTGCTTAAGTTTCTTTTCTGCACAGCAGTAGGACAGGGTCAGTCTTTCAGAAGACGTTTCGTACTCTTCAGGGTTACTGTAGTAGTAATTGCTAAGACCCGTATTGAAAAGAAGTGTAAGATATTAGTATTGCTGTGAGAAAAGTCAGTAATGGAGTCTTCCAGGGACTGGTGTTGGGAACTGTTTTTGTTCCGTGTTTTCTGAGGTGGGAATGCTGAAGGTCTACAGCGTGATGAAGGCGATGGAGGAGATGATTGCAGAACTCTTATTCAGGAAACCCCACAATATGAGACCTGTGAGATACTCATTGAAACTCGTAGGATCACTTCAAAATGGATAAAATTATTTTGCCCTATAAGGAAGTTCTGCCAATTCCCAGCCCGCCCACCCCCAGAAGGCATCAGCATGCTCAAAAAGAGATTAAGAAAATTCGTGGGCAGCATGTCCATAAATAGATACTAAAGGGAATGGATATACTTTCTGATATTCCTGATCCTGTGACTGTGGATGCTGGGGAGCATAAGGGGAAAGGACTGTAGTGTGGCCAGCCTCACACATCTTCTGCTGCCACTGTTGGTGATACAACACTGGGCTAGATGGATCGTGGTTTGTCTGACCCCATAGGTATCACTTATTTTAATAAAATTTAATAAAAAGTTCTTAAACCACATTTTGGCTTATTTAAACTGGCAAAATCCTGCTTTAAGAAATATTTCTCATGCTTCCAGTCATCTTAATATCTGATAGTATCATCTGGTATAGTCATCGGGTAACTGAGGAAAGCTGCTGTTCTTCCAGGCACTCAGTATGTGTCATGATTTTTTCCAATAGCACACAAGAAGTATCAAAATAGATTGAAGACTCCTATTTCAAGAAGCCTTCACTGTGAAAACTGTGAAAACAGTGGTATCCAATGTTCCTCCATGATCTGGATCCCAAATAAAGATTCCACATGTAGATTTTCCATCAGTCCCCATGATGCATGCAAAATCAGAGTATAAGCCATTGAATTTGTCACAGGCATTTTCAGGATAGATGATGAAATGAAACACAGTCTCTATTAGGAGAGGTGGATCGTTATCTTATTAATCTGGAGCAGGAATCTAAAAATGCTGGTCTAAATTAATTCTAGTAATTTGTATAACATTTCAGTTTCTTCCATCATTCAGCCTTTTGCCAGAGAGAAAAGGGGGATAGCTTCTGCTAGGCTAGTATTAAAGACTCTTGGGGGAACGTCAGATACTATATTTTAGTGCCGGTCCTGCTGGATCTTGTAAATCTAGCTAATTAGAAGAGTGAATTTCTTTAGCTAATCTTGTATTAGATCTTTGGAATATGGAATAAATCACAGGTGAGGCAAAACTTAACTAGTGACATCTAAAGACCTTTGTGCATAATAAGATCAATTCTGTGGTAGGTAGAGTAACATAACAATAATGTTGCTTCCCAAAAGCTTGTATAGATATCAAGCTTCCCTAGACATTCAGCCATCAATATGCATCTTTTTATGGAAGTAGAAGAGGGAGAGTAGGAGCAACAAGCATTTATCTGACAAGTATCTATGTGATTTCCCCTCAGGCAATTCAGCTGAGTCGAGATGGGCAGTATCTGCTTACAGGTGGAGACAACGGAGTTGTCATGGTATGGCAGATGTGGGACCTCAAGCAGCTTTTTGCTTACCCAGGGTGTGATGCCGGAATCCGATCCATGGCCCTGTCGTATGACCAAAGGTTAGAGCAAAGACTGGTCTTCACAAGAACTTCAGAGAATATATACTTACAATTAAATTGCATTTTTGTTTTTCTTCTGATTTTGATTTTCTGTGGATCACAGATCCTGGTGATTATATTGAGAATTCTGCGGTTGAGTAAGTTCCTTTCTAACATGTCATATTTAGGGCAGATAATCTTTTTCACGATTTCAGCTCTTGGGGGAATGAAGAAAGATTCAAGAAATCTTACTTTGGCAGACTTTCAAGACAGGTTGAGTTTTTGGCCTGTGCCAATGTACAGTGTGGGTCGCATAGAGGTGGAAGGTTAGATATGTGCTTTTCATGTTTCTTCTTTCTCTTACAGTACAAATCACATTCCGAATTCCAGACCTTTATGTTAAAAATACAACAGTTAGAATAGTTGCACATTAATTTTCCCTCCACACATCCATATTTTGCTAAAGTAAATATTAATTCTCATTTCCAGAAAAAGTTTTTATCCACATAAAGCATGACCCTCCTTGAAGTTTCCTTCTACTGAAGGCAATCAGTTAATATTTCTACTGCATTTTTACATTACAGTTTCCAATGCAGCTGTACTTAAAAGTCCTTCTGTGGTTTTATCACAAAAGTATTGTTTGTTTGCAAGATGGATGTTTACCATTTAACTTTTACACTTTTAGCTTGCTGGTTGGAATTTTGTTTGCTTTGGTGGACTTGCTTGGTTGAGTTCCTGTGTACTTTTCAAGCAGATTTGACTCCTAAATCCCTTAGGTTTTACATTGTGCAGTAAAGGCTATTGCTGAGACTTTCAGCCTTCCGCTTACTGAAGTCCATACTGAATGTTTTATCGTTTTTACCTGAACTACATTTCTAAAACTTACATAAAATAAACTTTAAAATATCCAACAGCCCAATCTGTGGACTTTGATCTAACATTCAACATCTTCTTGTTAAGCATAATTAAGAGATGATAGGCATTTTGGAAGAAACAGTTTTCCATTAAAAAGTGCCTGCTGTTAAAAATACTTCAAAAGCTGGAGTTACAGCTGTTGAATTTTAGACCTCTGAAATGTATGAAATTTTGCATTTAGAGAATCTTTAAACTGTAATTAATGACATGTCAACATAATCTTCGCATGCCAATAAACTGAAATTTAATATGGACATCTATAAATTTGTCTGTGTGCTAAAGCTAGGAACCCATTTTTGGGTTTGAAGACACAGAAGCTCAGAAGAGATTTGCTCAGAGTATTTTACTGAGTAATTACTCAGTGATTGCAGGTAATTACTCAGAGTGATTTATTTGGTATGCATGAAGGTATGTGTGTGAATGACAGTGCGTAAAAAGATGTTTTAACCTAATACAAAACCAATCAAAATGCTGCCTTTGAAAAGAAATAGTGTGATACTATCAAAATGCAATGTTTTGATGATCTTGTATTTAGCCTTTTTTTGATGGAAAAATTGCAGCTTTTTACTCTCAATATTTTTTTTTTTTTAATTCTGAAGCTTTTTTCTTAAAATGCCAGAATTTTGTATGTCCTCATACTTTTCATAAGACTTTAATATGGGACAGTAGAAAAGACGATATAGAAACTTTTGTAATTGTGTGCTATGTCAGGGTCATGGCTTTTCAAACAGATCTAAATGGTCTCTAGTAGTAGGCCAAGGATAAGGAATTTAGAAAGAAAGAGTGCCTCAGTGGGAAAGCACAATGATTGCTTTCAGGAACTTCCAAAACAATCAAAGCTGTCACATTGCTTTCAAACCCAAACACTAACATTTCCAACTGACGCCCTGTACCCACATCCAATTCCTTCATGTAGATCATGTGCTTAAATGGGGGAGGCAAATCTGAAACAAACACTTCTCCTAGCCTTCCTTCACTTTGTGGCTTCACCAGGGCTTCATCCCGCTCCAGTAACCCCCAAAACCCAACCAAGTAAGCCAAGAAATAATCCCAGGAAATCTGAAGTGGCCTTGCAGGACAGTGATGCTGGTAAACAATGCTGTTGTCTAACTCTCCATCGTAGCTTCAGGCTGACCATACAAACTGTTACCTGGTGTTTTGTGTGTTTTGTGATCCATAAATCTGTCAGAGGTGCTGCAGATGACAGTTTTACTCAAACCCAGCTTGCTGGAGTCCTTGGAAGCTCAAGATGGGAGCCCCTAAAGTCTGGTTTTTCTGGTATGTGGAGCACTTCCAGCTCCAACTGCCTTGGGTGGAAGTTGGTTGCTGCCTCGGGTTCTTGTGCCTGTATTGATGTAACTTTTCAGTGTGTTGACTGAACATGAGGTGGTTCACTAACGAATACGGTCTTGTGCTTTCCTTAGGTGTATCATGACTGGCATGGCATCTGGGAGCATAGTGGTTTTCTACAATGATTTCAATCGTTGGCACCACGAGTATCAAACCAGATACTGATCTTCACAGAGACAAAGATCAGCACTGATGTGGGCATCTGTTGTCAGAAGGAACACAGCACGCCTCCCTTGGTGTCTTGCCACAGCGTTGTTCCTTATAAATAGCTATATTACATCTGAATGTAACTTAAATTTGCTGGAAGAAGCAACCTATTTTTTAAAGTTAATTGCTATTTTTGTAGACCTTGCTTGACTTTTTTGGGGGAAGGGCAAAGAAGCAGAAAAATGGCTGCTGGGTTCTGTAGTTAAAAGATCTATATTTTTAGTCATAATGAGAAGTCTATTTTGATCCCTGTATGTAAAAGAAACCTAAAGTAAAAATGGTTAAAACACACATTCTAGCTATACTGTGAAGAAACAGATTTTCCCTCTGCAGCTTTATCAATAACCTTGAGGAATATATGATTTTAACATAATGGAAATGAATGACGAAGTTTGGGGAATTTTAATCTGTGCTATCCGTACCACACTTTGTCTCGTACTTTTCCAAATGATTGTACTACATCAGCACTGAAGTTTTAGGGAATCAATAGTAATATTTAAATTATGGTTAATGTAATTTTAAACTTTGCAAATTGTTTCCATCAATGTTATTATTAAGCATGTTTCTAGGCCTAGACAATTAGTTCTTTTTTAGTTGTAAGTTTTGTGCAGTTAGGAGAGAGAAATCGGGAATGGAGTTTGTGTTACATCAAGTGTGAATCCTTCTAGTTTCTACCTGGCATCTCTTCAAAGCACACCAAAATGTGGATTGTTCCTCAAAATCAGAAAGGCTGTTGTGACAACTTTAAACTCAAATTAGAAGCCCACAGAGGCAGGTATGTTTTAGTGGGTGCAAGTACCAAAGCACACTTCTGCTGGTTGACTGTGAAAGCACTAACAAGGCAGGTGTTCGCTGGTGCACGGCCTCTGTACCGCAGCGGAAGCACTAGGCTTGCAGGCGGCTTCCTTTTTTTTTTCCCCAGAACTAGCCCCTGCAATACCATAGCACATGCCGTATTCCTTTTCTGTTTATAGCAACAATATCTTTTATATTTTGCTATGACCAAATCCAGTCAGATCCTGCCCAATCATATTAAATTACCTCTTTCTTTTAGGAAACAAAAAATAATTTATACTAAGGAACAATAAGTTATTTTGGTGTTGCACAAATCTACTTTTCTACGAGATTGATGTGCAGAACTCTGTGAAAATATTTGTGAAAAAGAACTGTTATTGTTTTGTAAGTCTGTATTGCATAAGGATCTTCTTTGTATGTTGTGATCTAAATGAGTTGAGATTTACATTCCCTATCCGTATTGATACATACATTTCTCTAGCTGCCTACTAGAGCAGTTCCTGGTTTTTCTAAGCATTTAACTACTATCTCTTTCAGTAAAGATTTGGAATGAGAAAATTCAGTTTGAGTGAAGAAATTAAATAAAATTACATTTGTAATTGCAAGCTTCAATGGAGTACTGCGTTCTTCTTATTTAGTGTGTACTCGCAATAGAGGAAATAGGTGCTGTGGCTAAAGCATTTAAAGTACTCTTGGTGTTTATGCAATGGTGACTAAGTTTTCTGTGCTTTCTGCATTTTTACACTGATGTGGTTCTGGTGGTATCAGTAGAGTTATGTTTTCACGTTTTGTGTAGCAGAAGGATGATCCAATGAAGCAAAGGCTGTAGTTGTCCTGTCTGTGGAAAGTGCCCAGTGTACTGCGCAGTAACATTTTTTATGCAAAACTTGTCCTTCACACTTCCTAAAGTTCAACAACATTCATAGCCTTGTATCAGAAGATTTTAAGGGAAATTGGTGTGCTCTTGCAGTGCAATTTGCATTTGTCTCAAGCCAGGGATGGGTTTCCTGAGCTAGGTGGAGGGAAGAAAACCCTAACAAACAAATGTGTATTTTGCCAAGCAGAAATCCTGATCGTCTACTCTTTATGATCTCCTGCTGACTTAGAAAACAGTTTATTATTGATAGAAGTAATAATTTCTGATCTTAGAGCCAAAATATTTCATGGGGAGTTAATTTGGTAGATTGCTTGTTTTAGAAAGGGCCCTATTGATCATGCGATGCTTTCCCAAACTGAAAGTGTGAGTGTATCTGTATGTGCCATCCTGGATTGCATCCAGCCAGTGCATGCCGATGGGCAGCTGCGCGACGGTATCAAGTCCTCCTTGGGGAAGCAGCAGCAGCAGCGGTGCAGCGCGGTGTTTTGCGAGTGCTACAGCCCTTCTGTGGAAACGAACATCTTCACCTTCTGCTTGGTGAGCAAGCCTGTGGAGACACCCCCATTCTGGACTGCTTTGCTGGTGGCTTTGGTGAGTAGCACATACCCCTCCTTCCACAGGTAAAGAAACGTACCTCGGGCACTGCCCTGCAGCACCAGGCTTGCACTTGGGGTCTCAGCTTGGCTGAACTAGTCCACATCATGGTGCTTGTGGCAAAAAGGGTTAAATTTCCAATTATTCAGGTATTTGTTAGTCTATTCAGGGCAGGACCTGTGTCAAACAGAGTGCCTGAAACCTGTTTAATCAACAGCTGCCAGGCATTAACCTGCGGCTGGGCCTCAGCTAGCTGTTACTTGCAGAATGTTCCTGAAAAGAGGGAGCCGAGTCCTCTATTTCCTCAAAATTCAGAGGCAGCATTTATGAACAGTGTTTTTTCATGTGACAGTCCATGCTTCCTTCTGTTCTGGTAAGTTCAAACGGACATGGTGTTAGCTGTAGTTTATGGCAGGTGCTCTGGAAAACAGCATTTGCTGCTGCTGAGAGCAAGGCTGGGCAGCAGCCGTGCTGCAAGTTTGTGGGGAAATAGCACAACTAGCTTAAAATCCCTTCTGTTTTGTGAAAATTGCTGATATAAATGCTGTAGGATCTGGCAAGAGATGATGGTTGTGACCAGAGTGGTGGTTTCTCTGAAGGAAGTTCGTGTTGTGGTGTTACTGCAAGCAAAGGTAAATGAGTGCCATAATGCTTTTGAGAGTATTCCTTCAGTTCTTGCCTGTGTTGTGCTGTGTGTTATCAAAAAGCCTCTACACCTGGAAAACGTGCCTCATGCAAAGCTTATCTGTTTATTATAATTTCTAGACCTGACACACACTTGGTAGTCCTCCACCTATCAGCAACACTTTGTTTCTGCTAAAGATCCTGCTCTGCTGGTTTAGCACTTAACAGAATAAATGTCTGAAAGAGCTAGTGTGATACAAGATAATGCAGAGAGTTATCTGTGGATGTTCTGCTGATGGAGTTCGTTATTTACTAGGAAAGGGAGAGTTTAGAAAGACACAAGAGTTTTAGACACACAAGAGGGACTCATAGAATTATTTAGGTTGGAAAAGACCTTTAAGATCATTCAGTCCAACCATTAACCTAACACTGCCAGGCCTATCACTAAACCATGCCCCCAAGTGCCACATCTACATGTCTTTTAAATACCTCCAGGGATGGTGACTCTACCACTTCCCTGGGAAGCCTGCTACAGTACTTGATAAGCCTTTCAGTAAAGAAATTTTTCCTGATATCCAATCTAAACCTCCCCTGGTGCAACTTGAGGCTATTTCCTCTTGTCCTATTACTTGTTATTCTGTCACTCTTCTTGGGAGAAGAGACCAACCCGCACCTCACTACAACCTCCTTTCAGTAGTTGCAGAGAGCGATCAGGCCTCCCCTCAGCCTCCTCTTCTCCAGACTAAACAACCCCAGTTCCCTCAGCCACTCCTCACAAGACCTGTTCTCCAGACCCCTCACCAGCTTCGTTGCCCTTCTCTGGACACGCTCCAGCACCTCAATGTCGTTCTTGCAGTGAGTGGCCCAAAACCGCACACAGCACTCGAGGTGCGGCCTCACCAGTGCCGAGTACAGGGGCACGATC